TATATATATATATATATATATATATATATATATATATATAGTGTACAACATATGAATGCCTCAACAACATTTCCCTAGAGGCACACAACGCAGTGTCCTAACCACTTGACCACGTAGAGTTTTAGGCAGTCTCGGTCGTCTACTAGAGCAAGTGATCGACCTCCATAGATTGCGCTGGTTGGGACAAGTGCTACGCATGTCACCAGAGAGGTTGCCACGGCGAACGATGTTTACCAAGGCTGGTAGCGATTGAAAAAAAACAAAGGGCGGNCCTGGCATGAGGGCATGAAAACCCTAACCAGGAGACTAGGTCATATAGGCCCCGTTAGGCTCCCTGGTTGGGGACCTCGGGATGATGGTCACTGATGGTTAGCTACACTGAGTGATATGGCTGGGTGTCGCAAACATCGTGCATCCACTTGTTATTTTCCTAACACCACTCTATATGAATTCCCCATCTTCCGCTTGGATTTGCTTCGACATTCCAATCTTCATTTCGCTCTTTTATTCAAATGGGCAGCCAAAACCGGCGCACAAAAGTGCATGGTTAATGGTTGTAACAACTGAACTGAAAGGTAGACAACCGGTTTCGCGGTTCCTCTGCAAAACCTCGAATCATAGCTTTCACTCGTAAATAGATTGGTTCTGAAGGAGGTGTCCAAACAAATCTACGCGGTGTTGCAAATGATGTGTTTGTGACGAAAATCTGTCTTGGGTACAAGTATATCAATGAAATGACAAAAGAATACCGGATATGCATGTCTGATGAACGGACACATCATATCACATGTCAACATCAATTGTTGGGACGCCCAGCTTTGGTACCCCGTCAAAAATTCAGTGGACTTGGAGATGTCATTCACCGTGAAAACTTTATCCGGCTGTACGTTTATCCCACCCCATCAACCAAATTATCGAGTGTTATTCTGCATCCATGATCCATTTGTGCTTAAGTCTAACCAGTCATTTATTATAGATCCCGATATCAGATGAATGTTATGAGCTTCACTGATCCAGTACGTCGATTGGATTTTTCGATTGACTTTCTTCAGGTGGTTGGCAGTACTTTTGGAGTCTGTTGGCAATCTGGTGGTCTTGTTCGTGGCACTCTTTGCTGTTGCTTCTCGCGGAAAACTATCCGCTGGTTTTACCGGTTTGGTAATCAGTCATGCCCTGAATCTTAATCAGACCCTGAATTGGTTGGTCCGAATGACAGCCGACTTGGAGAATGATATTGTTTGCGTAGAACGGATTGATGAATATTCGCGAACAGAACCCGAGGTAGGTATTTGCCTTCAGCTTTTATCTCAAGGAGAAATGTTCCCGCAGTGAAGACTGACGAGTAATATTTTCTCTTCCCTACTGTTCCACTTTATTTTCATTTAAATGCCTCTGGTTTTGAAGATTCTAAATTATCATGCTGAGTGCTATTCGTACGGCTCATACAGTATTGCGTGCTATTCTATTGCGATCTGATGTTAGCATTCATACTCACATGCTTTTTATTTGACAAAATTGAGAAATGTAATGCCACTTGAAACAAACGCACCTGAACGCCTTATTCAGCAATCCTTATGATGTGTTCTCCTTTGCCGGGCATCATTTTTTTGCTTACATCTAACAAGTTTCTCTTTTCTAGTAAATTGTTAAGACAAGTGAGTCCTTGTTATCATTAGAAACATTTTGAATTTCATTAAAAATCCAGATTTCATTCTATCCTAAACCAAAAGCAAACCACTCTGCTTGAAACGGAATAACGAGAAAACCCAAGGAGTTTAGAAACTGTACAAATTTTAGAGTAGCTCATTCCCCTATTATTCTGCGTTGTTGCTGAAAGATCAAAATCAGGTGTCAGATGTTTTGTAACCATTTGCATATAGTAGTTCCCCGAAGAAAAGCTTTAGTTTCTTATAATACTAATTCTTCACCTAACTCCAGTTCAATGCACCAGGTTGACCAGTTCCTTCTACCTTTAATTCGCTACCTCTGTCTATTTTATCTATCTTACCGTCATTAATTTCTGCAGGCCCCATGGGAGATACTGCATAACAAACCAGGAGACAATTGGCCCGAGGGAAGAATTGAATTTATCAACTACGGGACCCGTTATCGGCCACAGTTGGACTTGGTTTTAAAATCTATTTCTGTTACCGTAAATCGTGGAGAGCGTGTAAGTCCAGTTCATTTCTGTACTCTAGTCGTGTTTTCATTTTTAAGTTGTCTCAGCTTCATGCTTACACACAGCTTGACTGACATGTGCTTTGAATGAAATTTGGTGTCAGTGCTGAATCATACATGTCCCCAAATGTTCGTGTTGTTCTCTCGAGAATTGGACATGCTTGATACATTTCACCCTGTCAATCTGTCTTGCGAACTATTCTTCGTCAACACCCAGCAACCAAATGACGTTTTGCTACTGATATGCTCCCCTAATTATCATGTTACTAGTTGTTCAATGAAACTGAGTTGTTATTTGTGATTCTCGGGACTGGGTTGCACCAATAACACTTGAATATATCCCAACTTTGGCTTTTCACTAACCGTTGGGAGTGTACCAGTTTGAAGACATCCGATTGCTATCATCCTGGGGACGCTTTGTGACTCCGCATATTGTACGTATTGCTTATTTGCTGCCCGCACGAACTGGTCATTAACTAGATATTCAACACTATCTTTCTTCCCGTTAGCATTTGCCCGTTCAGCACAGGTAGTCATATCGGTTACTGTTGCCGTCGCATTATGATTGACCATTTCGACGGAAACTGTAAACTCATTGTTGTCGCTGCTTTGTTGACCGTCTGATGTGAATACATTGACTCGGAAGACTTGTAACATAAATACCCGTGAACTTTCTGTCATTGTTGACATGAACCGGGTGATATCCTGGCAATAGTCCACCTGTGTTCGGATCCACGTCGCCCCTAGCCAAGGATGATACTTAACACCACATAGCGAATGTGCGTTTGCGGTATTCAGTTTTCGCAACCTCAGATTTAGTAGTCTGGTCTTCACATTCAGACTGCCAATCCTGTTCAGGTCGGATATCTGTCCAAATCGAATTCACAATCACATTTTGAATAATTTCGGAAGGTTGAGTGCGTTTGGAAAATGAAACGTACCGCCATATTTGTTTAACTCTAAACTACACCTGTTATTGTTGTCGTATTTGGTTAATTGCATCGTGTAACGTTCTGTCACACTGCTGAATTTAATTTAGTCGCTCAGGTCTATTGGATAACTTGTGATGGACGAAGCACCAATCACTTCGTCCGGTTCCCCCTGAAATGAGATTGATGAATACAACAGCTGGAGATACACCCCGCGACAAACCTATTGTACTATGATTTTGATGCCGCAGAATAACAGTCTGCCTTCCGTTAAAATCTAGTAGTGAATTACTGCGACGTAACATTGGGGAATTCTCTCCGAGTGGTCATTTGATGTCATTGCTAACATAAATTACCGTTCTAAGTTACAAACATATTTATCCCCGCGAGTCCGATTGGGCCGTTGCTCGATAAGACATCCCATGCCATCTCGGAAGTTTGATCGACAATCCACTTACTGAAGTACCAATCTTTCAATAAATTATAATGGTAGGAGTTCCACCCGTTCAGTCCACATAAAGCAAATTTATTTCCATCGCTAAAGTCGACGAAATTCCATTCGTTTTTCCAAGTTGCATGAGTTTCGTTTCACGATAAAAGTCATCATGTTTGTACCGAAACGTTCAAAGCAAGCATCGTTTTCATATTCGATGCATGACTCAAGGAGTTTGAGGCCATAAGTAGCCATTTCTCGTTTTCTTCCCTTGAGATCTTCATTCCGATCCCTTTATGGCTGCTTTTTAGCTGTTTCAAATATCGTACCACAATTTGGCCGGGATCTATTAGATCGTCTAGCTATCTTATGTGTTCTGACATTGATCTCACGAAAAGCATCACTTCAGAATTTATCGTTATCAGTAAGCCACTTCCGCAATGATTTGTAGTCATGTATTTGGATGTCTCGGTTCTTTCAAGGTCATTGGGATTGATGTACGTCTGCAGCTTACACCAGCCAGTCAATCAATGACCCATCAGGGATACCAGTTGCCATGCCGAAGTGAAAACTCGGGATGTCTATCGCACCCGTCCCTAAACAAAGTTCATTGTCACTCATACAACTTATAGAGCATATGGCGTTCACCAGGTAGCATGTAAGCTGACCGTCACTACAGGTTTTGGTTAGAATTCACCGGAGTTCACTGAATGAACTTTTAAATCAAAGTGGAGTGTATCAATTCCGTAGGGAGTGCAAAAGCTTTGTCACGTTCAGAATTGTTTTTCGAAATTCTCGTGAAAATAAAACACCATATGGTGAAATTTCTTATTTCGGCTATTCATTTTGTGATGCTTGTCCATGTGGGAGTCGGGGTAATCCAAGATTATAGGATAGGGTAGAGGGGGACAATACTTTCGTCAAGGCGTTTTGTAGTATCAAGTGATTGGTCAATGTTTGGCAGCTATATGTATTCGGAACCGTTTGTTTTGAACTCTTTCGGGCAAATGCAATTTTCAGCATTGTTTCTGTTGAATCTGATTTCAAGTGACTGAAAAATAACTTTATTCTTACTAATGTCGGTTAAATATTTTACCTTGTATGCTTGCCTCTCGTTTATTCTCAAATCTACTTAGGCAACTAGTTCTCTAGATTTTGTTTGGCTTTTGCTATGTTCACTTGGTACTTCAGTTTCATAAAACGATGGATGCAAACATTTTGCAGACTAACAATGAATGATGGATAGACTAACTAGCGTATCATCAACGAAAATGATGCGCAAATTGTCTCTCTCATTCTACCAGTCAATACATTAAAACGAATGCACCCTCGAATCTGTCGATCAATCTTGGTTGATTTTTTTCGCTCTGTAATGTTATTTAGTTTGCTGTTTGTACCTCTAACCTCTGTAGATTATTCACTTTTGCAACCAGATAGATCAAAGCTGTAATGGATTTATTTCACAGAGAGTTCTTCTCTACCCCGAACTTCACTTATTTTTTCACTATTATTCTATCCAGATTGGAATTGTCGGACGCACAGGATCGGGAAAATCATCGCTGGTGATGGGTCTCTTTCGAATGTTAGAAGCGGCTGAGGGACAAATCAAAATCGACGGTGTGGATATCGGTCAATTGGGATTGCACGATTTGCGTAGTCGATTGACGCTTATTCCTCAGGTAGGTCTCAGCTGAATGACATTTGAGTTCATCGTGCATGTGAGAACCGGAGGTCCGTCTTGAATACAGCAAGCGATGTTTAATAATTAAACGTCTATTTGTTTTCAAGTCGTTCTTTGACTTCGAATCATAGGCATAGTCGACAATAAACCAAGTAAATTTCACCAAATAATTCTTCTCAGCTCATATATGGCTTGACCGGTTGCATTAGTAATTGTGAATAACTAGCCCGTTCAGGTCATGATAGGCATAATAAATTCACTCGGGGATTTTTCAGCGTTTGCAACAAAGTATAGTGGAGAAGAAACGGGGTCAGTAGTCAGAGAAAACAAAACAGTGCGTGTAGTTCGATAGAATTAACGCGTAAAGTAATGAGTCAGATTCGTAATGATGAATGTCCGACTAACGGGCACTCGAGAAGACAAATGAAACGGTTTAGGGAATAACACTGATACGAGACAGACGTTGAAGGAATATAAAAAATGGGAACAGTGTGTATTTCTTCCAGGCCAGATTATATGCAGTGAATGCTTAGAACGCATCCCGGTGCCAACCTAACGGTTACATTTGAGGAAACAGCAAGCTTTTTAAGTCTCAAAGCGTATGATCACAAAGATATATTGTCAATTTTTATGTTTTGCTATCAGAAAACTGCGATTGATTGATTTTTTCACTCACAGATGCAAAACCGAATTCCAGATTCCGGGTTGAAGTTTCCTTCTTTATTGATTGTTAAGTAATCAATCAGTCGTCAAACCATCAACCGCCAGTTACGGACCGGTTGAATATATAATTAACTTTCTGTGTGAACCACAGAGGAGTTAACCAGTTTTCAAAATTGTGGAAGTGGATTTACTTAATCGTCCCCTAGCAACCACAGATAGATTTACCTTCTAAATTATTCATCAAGTAATGGTCACTGCACCACCGTCACTGGTCTACTGATTTGCGTCATCGCGCATATAATGACTTCGCTAACTGAGTGCGATTTTAGTGTTTAGTTTGATATGCTCACGTCTGAATTTACTTTCATTTTATTTATTCTGTTATCTAGTGACGTACGCATTCATATATCACTTAAGTTTGTTCATATTATTTTTCCCTTTCTACTTAGGATCCGGTTTTGTTCTCAGGCACATTGCGATTCAACTTAGATCCATTCAGCAAACATACAGACAGTGAAATCTGGACGGCACTGGAGTTATCGCATCTGAAGAGCTTTGTCAATGAAAGTAGCAACGGTTTAGGACTGGATATGATCATTTCAGAAGGTGGATCAAACATCAGGTAAATTTTTGTACTTTTAACTAGCATTTCAACTCAGTAATGTGTGTTCCTAACAAAGAACTTGCGAAAATCCTCTATCCGAATTTCTCACGGTTTTTACAAAGCAACCGGGCAAAATATCCGAATAGTACGAACGTTAACAAAGTCACTCTCCAATATTAGATCCGTATAGGAATGGTTGGATTAACCACAACGAGAGAACCAAAAACAATAATTTTCGGTTGACGACGTTTCGACCCTCTTGGAAGGCCTTTTTCAAGTCAATTCTTTTCTATCCAGATCTAATACTATGAGCTCAACGCACAATTTCTTCAACGACATCCGTTCACTCTCCAATATTTTTCGGCGACATTGCTAGGAGTGGAAACTTATGCATACCTCATTTTCATTTGAAGTAAACGGTCTACAGTCTTGACGATATTTAAGAACTGGGCTGCTTCTTCACCTTGTTCTTGTCCATTATATGTGATTCCAACACTTCACCTGTTTTGCACTCTGAGAGCAGTTCCAAGAACACAACTCCGGACCCATCAGTTCGTTTGAGTCTTTTTAAAAAGCATTTCAGGTGTTTTCAACGAAAATTATTCCATGTTCGTTCGAAAGTCTTGAATGGTATGTGGTGATGTCACTGCCTTATCGGCCGAACAAGATGCACACAATCCTAACGTCACTTGTCTCGAGATTCGGTTTGTTCTTAACAGCTCACGATATGGTGATTTGACTTTATAGATCCGATAGCCATTTAACCATTTGTGGCATCCGTATTTGTAAAAGTTCCGGTTCCTACATTGTGCTCTTTTTTACTTCTGGCATGACAACGCCATAATGAAGCATATAGTCACAGACCATTGGTATTCACACTACATTCTACATCTCATTGCACGAATCTGATTGTACTAGCAAACTGAGTTCTGGTGCAGAGTTTTATGCAATCCTAACCATGTAAAGAATCACCTGCTTGACCTCCACCGTTTGTGATGACCGGACTATGTGTTACCTGTCTAACCAAATGCGCTGTCTCTGTAGGCATTTTAGGTCCGAGGCAGGTACCGGTTTGGAAAACTTCAAGCGTGGTCAAGCAAAAAGCATGAAAAATCGTACCAGAGAACTTACTCATTAGGTTATTTTGATCGACTGATGATGTTACCTAGCCTGGCTACGAAATGTCCGCGAACAATACTCTCAGCTCGGAAAACACACCACCACCAACATCCACATCCCGAGCTAAAATAGTTCCACATTATTTCCAATATGATTTGTGTACTTGTCTTCAAAATCGATTGCATGTTATTTACTATGTCATAAGTATTGTTTTCTACCAAACGTTTTGGGTTAAGGCCCAGTACCCGACTCGAAGCCATGTCGTCAAATCACCTTCAACTTTTGTTCATATAATAATGCACACACAGTACGGTTTTCTGACCATGTTTTCAGAAGTTAGTTATTGTTTATTATTCTATTTCGCCTGTTCGCCGAACTTGGTAATTTGCCAACGTTTCATCACCAGCCGAGGTGACATCATCAGTGCTTGTGAAGTTGCCACTTCACAGGCGAAATAGAATTCAGTTCACCCGAGCTACGAGAACCGATTTTCAATACTTTGTCAGTTGTTTATTATTCGGGATCTCCGGTACCTAACATAGGAAAACGGAAATGACTCATTGCTGCAAAGTCTGTGATTCACTTCTAATGCATTTCCTCAATAACTTCCCGCGAAATAACTTATTCTTATCGCACGTTCTATCAATCCTCAATCTCTCTGAAACTACGAGTTTTAACTATGAGATTCCTCTTTCAAAAGTAAACTATTTTGTTCGGATCAAGAAAGGTAGAGTTAGTAAGTTTATGCACCAAATCATTGATGCAGCTGAAGAAACATGTCATCAAAGTAACACCTATCACAAGTAGAATATGATTCCCCGTTTTTATGTGAACTGTAAGAAAGAAAAACAATAATCATGTTTTTCGATATTTATTGTTTTAAGATAGAATAAATATAGCATCATTTATATAATGAACATCTACAATGCAATTCGGGTAACACTTTGAGTTCACTTCAAACCTGATCTACATCCAAGCCTTTTCCTTGCTCGATATCAGTCGTCGTCTTCCAATTGGACATGACCTTCATTTTTAACAGTAGTTCACAATTTTCATTATTGGCGAAAGTATATGCTATTTCTCTTTTCTCAGCTGCCTTACAGTTTTCGGTACATATTCATGTTGATTATCATAATTGTATTTTTACCATCAGTATGGGACAGCGTCAACTTGTCTGTTTGGCTCGGGCGTTATTACGTCGAACACGTATCCTTGTGCTTGATGAAGCAACCGCAGCTGTGGATGCATTGACAGACAATCTGATCCAGACGACTATTCGCACAGAATTTTCACACTGTACGGTTCTGACGATTGCACATCGTTTGAACACGATTCTTGATTACGATAGGTAGGTCGCTGTTCTCTTTGCCGTGCTTTTTTGATCCTCTAACACACAAGCAATATGTGTGAAGTGTTGCGCAATCGCAGTCAAGCAATAACACAAATGCTTACCCTCCAAAGACTGTGATGACTCGGTACATGTTACGTATAACCACATGGGCCGAAACTGCAGACCGCACTCGTTGAGTTGAGCAGTGGTTGGAAAAAGATCAACGATGGCCATCAAATAAATTCCTTGTATGAGAGTGTGAAAAACTTGACCAGGTGAATTGCCCATGTGACTAGTGTCAAGCTTTCCGGTTGGAGAACTTGGGATCAGGCTAATCAACGGTTGAAGACATTGAGTGACATCACTTAATGTTTTAAATATTAGCGCTCGTGAATCTCGCCGGTTTCAGCGCCCAATCATTTTTATTTTCATTGTGCATATTTTTCATGATGCTACTTTCAGGTTTCTACGGCTTTGTACTTTCCGATCACTATTCTGCTTGATGGGCAGTCGACTGATAGCAACCAAAACCGCGTCGCGTAAGGGCAAGAATAATGTATGCGCAAACTGAAGTGAACCAAACGCTTATGCAATAGCGTCACATGGTCACGGATTACTAT